TAATGCCTCGAAACAAATCGAACAAATAAATCGTATATTTCACGCTCAATTGGTGTATGTCGCTCCGGCACCCTTCGTAATTCTCTTTGTTCCCGATGAAAATAAATATGCTCAAACATCATATGTATACCTCTGTTACCTATTCTTTCAACCGGCAATGGAAATTCACAACTCCCATTTCGTTCCATTATTAGCGGTAGATAAAACCAAGAAAAAAAAACCATAGACTATATACTATATAGAATATAGAATATATATCACCAAATGTGGACAAATGTGGACAAATGTGCTAAATCCTCTCACTAATAAGTGATGAGGTGGCACATATCTACCTTGTCTTTCTATCAATTCTAGTACATGGACTCATTTCCTCCTATTCACATTCTCCTTCTACCGAATATAAAATTACATAGTAAAGTTTAACTATATCCTTACGCTGAATAACATCCACCGGGCTTCAATCCCTATTCCAGTGCACGTCGTGCAACGCCCCTCCCCTAGTTGACATGTGGTAATGTTTCATAACTAACCACATCATTAAAACTCATTAAATTAGTGGACACGTAATCCAATTAGTTCAAATTGGTTGAACAATTTGTTTCTTCACGTCATGTGTATAATCGAAAAATTAAAAAAGACCAAAAGTGCAAATAATATGAAAATTTTTAGATAGATCCACTATTGAGACTAAAAGTGCAAAAAAAAAAAAGGAGTTCTATGTAGGTTCGGTACTTTGATTAATGGGATAAAGTGAATAATTAATCAGGATAGTAATAGTTGGAACTAAGATTAAAAAAGAAAAAAAAAACTTTCAAGTGTAGCGGATCTTGGAAAAATGGAAATTGGCCAAATATGTATAATGGATCAATTTGGAGCATTAATTGTCAAGAAAGTGCATATCCCTTTTTACCTCTTAAAAGCAGCTGCCACTTAAGCCATGTGACAGCTACACAAAAGCAAAATTCCGGTCCAAACACAAACATATATACATCTTGAAGGCCTAAATATAGGCCCACACGTGGTTCCACCTCAAAACCAATTGGTTCAAAGGGGAGTAGCAGATGTGGTTATATATTGGTTTCAAGACTTTCCATCTATCCATATGGGACAAGGTTATATTCTCAACACCCTAGATAAACTGCCGGATCAGTGAAGGCCCAGATATAACTGGGTAAGTACAAGCCCAAAGGTGTTGGACAGACCAGATAAACTGCCGGATGAGTAAAGGCCAGATATAACTAGGTAAGTAGAAGAAATAGAAACTGAAGGCCCAGATTTTGGGTAAGTACAAGAAGTAGAAATAGAAGACCCAGATTTGGGTAAGTAGAAGTAGAAGGCCCAAATGGGTAAGTAAATGTCAGGAACGAACAAATTCCAGTTCCAATTCTAGCTATGATTTATAGTTTCATTGGCAAGAATCAAAGATAAGGGGGGAGAAATCAGAGAAGAAATGAGAGATTAGGGCAAGGAGAAGAGAGAGTTAGAGAGAAAAAAGGGGAAAACCGAATCCAGTTATTTTCATTCATTCAATCCATTCACAAAACTCGAGACAAAATAGGCTTCCCCTAAATGAGGACAATACACAATAACTGTGATTTAAGCTCCTCAAACCTATCAAAATACTCATTGACAGTTCTTGTTTAAGTAAGCTTATTGAATTTTTCAATAGGATCCATATCTTGATCCTTAAATCTTTTCAACAACTCCACCTCAAACAGATTCCAAGTTGCCTCAGGATTACACTTACGGAAACCTTGATACCAAATGTCAGCCTTGAAATATTTTTGACATTTCCGCGGCCAATTACGAGAACTTATCCCAATCAAACATAGGTAATTTGACTTTAGGCTTAGGTTTCCATTTCCTTTTAACTCCCTTAGAATCCACAAGATCATGTTCATCATCAGTTACTTCAATTCTAGTTTTTTGAGTGTAATTATGACAAAATTGACCTACAACTCCCTCCGAATTACAAGATTTAACTCCAAAAACTGACGCTACAGAAGCAGAGTTCAAGATCCTACCATTACAGCTCAAGGAACCTTCAGGATTGTCCAGTTTCATATCCAGTTTCGCAAATCTTGAATTGATATCTTGAAACATATCCTTAATCATTCCTGACAGATCTTTGATTTTAGCTCGAAGACTAGCCAATTCCGTCATCGTTTCATCAGATCTAGCCGTCATCTTGTCAATTTGACCTTGAAAATCGCCTTTCCAGCTTACCGTCAGGTCAGTCGTATCTGAAGTCTGAATCACGCTACGATGTGGCGCCATTTCAACTCACAAATCCAAGGAACAGTAGGCTCTAGATACCAATTGCCAGGTTCTGGATGATTTTCCAATTCCAATTTACAATAAAATCCGAGAATTTCCGGCAAGAAAACTCAGGGATGATTGAACTAGGGTTCAAGAATTGTAAGGGGGAGAAATAGAGAGAAAAATAGGGAAGGGAAATAGAATTGAGTTAACACTCGGTATTTTCAATATTCCAGAATGATCCAATCATCAGTACATACTCGTATTTATACTAATTCTACTAAGAAATGGAAAAGAAGCCAAAACAGTACAAAGTCAGGACAAACGCGTGCATGTGCGCATTAATTGCCAACATGCAAGAAACGGCGTCGTCTTCCCAAGCTTCCCTCCATATTTTGAATTGTCCACCGACTTCAACAGAATTGGGCACATGACAGTAAACTAGACCTCGGATATAACTGCCGGGTCACTCAAAACCCGTCCCACAAGTCACACAGGTCCGCGGATAAAACCAGCTCGAATACCATCTTGAAGGCCTAAATATAGGCCCACATGTGGTTCCACCTCAAAACCAATTTGTAATAAAGGGAGTAGCACATCTGGCGATATACTGGTTTCAAGAGTCTCCATCTATCCATGTGGGACAAGGTTATATTCTCAATAATACGGCACCATTTTAGCAGTAGAAATTAAACTCCAGAAATCACTCAAATCAGTTATTGGATTTCTCTTTACGTTTCAGATTTTAAAAATCCCCTCAAACTTGGAATGCAATTAGTCCCCTTCCACATAAATTCGCACTTCCTATTTCCTAATCATATTTAACTTTCCAAAGAACAAAAAATAATTGATACCTCCCACTTTTCAAGATTCATTCTCCCAACTTCAGCACCATTTCATTTTGAGGCCTCCATCGAAACAATGAAACATAATGATGGAAGATCCATCATACATTGGCATAGTTGTAAAGACCCAAGGTTCCGTCTCTCATGGCATCATCGACATGGCATTTAACCTGACAGTATGATGCCGAGGTCTAGCCCTTTATTGTCTCCCTCAATTTGCACTATATCTTTAGATTTAGGATACAGATCTGATAAATCCTTTCTCTCCTTGATTTTCACCAAAGACGAAGAAGCCACCGGCTAAATTCTGTGAAGATCTGAGAAACCACCAGCTACAAGGATGAAACACGGGTCTAAAAGATGACGCTACAAAAAAATCATAGTAACAACAACAACAGCAGATGCATACCCTTATGTCTCCTTCACTATCAACCTCATTTGAGCCTGTCTGCAAGAGGGAGTTGCACCAACAGCCTGGAAAAGGGCCAATCACATCGTTTTGCTGAATTTCAATTATTTATTTGTTTTTTCATCCAGTTTTTGACCTTTTGGCTTCTCAGAATAAGGAATGATTTTCTGTACTTTGTATAACGAGATAAAGATATATAAGCATCCTATGAGGCCCATCAATTTCTTCCTATTACTGTTTTGATAGTTGTATTCATCAACGGGGTGAATGCCTTTATCTTGCTTGGAACTTCAATGGATGATGCATAAATTCGGATCAGTGTTCTTTCAGTCCATGTTTTGTCCATTATTTTTTTTTTGGTGAAAAGGTAAATATATACATAACCACCAAATAGTGAAGCTCATAATACATGTTGAATCAGTTCCATAAAAACTAACTGTTACAAAATTTCAGAGGCCATTAAGGACCTCAAAACAAAGCCAACTACAAGCTAATCATTTTAGCATTCAAAAACTCATCATGCACATGGGAAAAACTCCTGTAAAATCCGAGTCTCTGCTCTAGTGTCTCTTTTCTTCTTCCACATCCTGAATCTGATCTTGACCTCTTGTTGAATCACATTTAGAATATCCATTGAAACTCTCTGCACTTGTTCAAACTCCCTCTTTTTTCTCTCCTCCCACAAATGATATATTCAAGTAGCAAAGGCAGCTAGAAATACCTTTCTTTTCTACATCTGGCCTTTCCACATACACAGCCATTGAACAATCCATCTATGTTTCTACTGACTGAGCCTTTTGCATTTCAGCCAATCTCTAAGCTTATCCAGTAACTCCTTAGCAAATCTACACTGAAAGAATAGGTGATCCACTGTCTCATCTTCATCCCTACACAACATACATACTCTGCCAGAAACAACTATATTCATGTGTACAAGCATGTCTTCTAAATCCTTCCCCTTCATACTAACCATGCCACGAAGGCATGTTTTGGAACGTCTTTGCTTGCATAATTGCTTCCACTACCAATCGGAATCCCTGCTTGGTTGAATTTTCCAGAAGTCTGCCTGCTTGAAGTACACCCATGGACCCCCGCACCCATAAAGCTTCTTTATGTTGAGCCAATTGCCAAACTTGCTTGGCCACTGCTACAATATTCCATAATCTAGCATTCGTAATCCCTAGTCCACTCTCAGACTTCTTTTTACATACTTCCTCCCATCTTACTAAGAATAAGACCTTTCCTTCATTCTTACCACCCCACAGGAATTCTCAGCACACTCTATTAACCATATTCGTAATACTTTGAGGCAAATAAACATAGAACCCCAGTAAGAGTGCATAGACATTAAAATAGAGTTTACTAAGAGTAATCTACCAGCGTATGACAAATGACATACATAATAGTAGTTACTCTTTCTCTCTAACACCTCTCTCTTTGAAGCTTCTCTCAGTGCATGTTAACCGTCTGACTAACTTTCGCCTTCCATGGCGAGGAGGAGAACAAGGGGTAAGGGGGTGATGAAAGATCAAGAGGGAGAAACCGGAATAGAGAGTAGCAAACATTCACCGATTGAATTGGGGGAAAATCAATTGGAAAAAGCAGATCTGCAAATTGGGGAAAGCTCTTCTAGGGTTCGGTCAAGGGTTCATGTGGAACAACTGGTGACAGAGAAGGGTGAACCACAGGGGGATGAACACTTGAGGATTCAAGCAAAGAAGCTAAGTGAGATTTTGGGTCTTAATCCATCACGAAAATTGGAATGGCCAAGCTCTAAGGAGGCGGCAAAAGCTTCCTGCTGGGGGTTAGACACTGTGAAGAAGCTTAAAAAAGGAGGAGTGTCGTTGGATTACATAATCCCAAAGGAGAAGGATGGAATTCCAGTGGCTATGTTGTAAAAGAAGGACATTCAGAGCGAATTGGATTATTGGCAACCATCAGCTATTAGCTTCGTTCTCGGAGCTAACCCACGCTTCAAGGTAATGGATTCTTTCAATAGACATATATGGAAGCATTTGTCTGTTGATTGTATCATACTCCTCCCTACTGGCCTGTTTGTCATAAGGTTTCGATCTATAGAGGATAGGGATGAAGCATTGATGGACCCAGTTAATTATCTAGGATCGAATCCAGTAATTTTGAAACCCTGGAAGGCGGAAAAAGGTTCAAATTATAAGGAAGTGAAGCATGTGCTGGTTTGGGTTCAATTTTCTGGGCTTGAACTGAAGTACTAGAATCAGGCCACTTTAAGCCGAATTGCCAGTACTTTGGGATGACCCATTGCTACTGATACGCTAACTGCATCTCGTGATAGAGCTGCTTTTGCACGTATATTAATAGATGTTGAAATCAGAGACAACCCGCCTTTCGTAGGTCATTTTGTTGATGAGAACGGTAGCTTGGTAGAACAGGGGGTTTATTATGAGTGGTGGCCTACCTAGGGCAAGAATTGCTGCTACTTTGGGCATGGTTATGAGGATTGCATGAAAAAGATGAAGGAAAATGATCTATTGAAGCCAGTAAAAGCTGACCAGAAGACCAAGAAAGGCTCTGAATGGCGGATAGTTACTAGAAAGGGCACAGAAAGGGTACAGGGGAGTGATAAGGGTACGGCTAATCAACAGAAGGGTAAAGAAGTTCAACACAGAGCTCCAGCAGAAAATATCAAAGAACACAGTAAGCAAGATGTAAACAGTTTCTCAGTGCTTACAGAAAATATCAAAGAACACAGTAAGCAAGATGTAAACAGTTTCTCAACGCTTAGAAATGAAGAAGAAGGTGATGGCCAAGAGGGGGCAATATCCATAACTGTAAATGAAAGTCAGGGGTAGCAATGTGATAAGGCTAGGGAGAATCCTCTTGATCCTGGAATACATATATGACAAGTATACTCCACTAGAACATAAGGGGTCTCAACAGCCTTGTCAAACAAACGGAGGTAAGGAGAATTAGTTCCATGTATAATATAGTACTACTTTGTCTTGTTGAAGTAAACCTAGAATATAATAAAATTGCTGAAATGATGAGGAAGCTATGGGTTGGTTATGAGTGGTATAGTAACAGCCAGAATAATGAGAAGGGTAGAGTTTTATTGATCTGGAATCCTGGATATGTGGTTGCTAATATTAGACAGTATGATAAGCAGTATATGCATTGCTGGGTAGGCATAAGGAATAGCAATGTTACCTTTTTCTTAACTGCTATATATGCATCAAATAGACAGGAGGAAAGGAATAAGCTTTGGGAGAATATGATTCATCTGGCCAATGGTATGACTCAAAGTTGGTTAGCAATGGGTGACTATAATAATGTTATGGCCACTTATGAAAGAATTGGTGGCAATCCAGTGGCAGTGAGTGAAGTACAGGGGATGAGAAGATGTGTTGAGTTATGTGAACTTCAGAACCTGAAACAGCAGGGGCTTAAGTACACATGGTCAAATAAACAGCTTGGTACAAGGAGGATCTTTTCTAAGATTGATAGAGCCTTAGTAAATGGCCAATGGATTATGGATTTTCCTCAATCAAATGTTACAGTATTGGCTGAAGGGGTGTCAGATCATAGTCCACTACTGGTGCAAATGACGGCTGCGATTATTCAGAGGTCGAAACCATTTAAATATTGCAATATGGGGAATCATTCGAAGGATTTTTTAAAGATAGTAGAGGATTCATGGTGTAGATCAGTGGAGGGGACTCATATGTATAAACTAGTGAGGAAACTGAAATGGTTAAAACCATCTTTGAAGAAACTGAATAGAGATCAATTTGTTGATATTCATATGAAGGTGGAATTGTTAAGGAAAGAATTGGAGAGTGTACAAGAACAAATTCAGACAATGTTACTGATGAGGAACTACTGGAATATGAAAGAAGGCTTTATGGTGAGGTTATTCAAAAAAGCAAGGCGTATGAAAGCTTCCTGCAGTAGAAGGTGAAAGAACTATGGATAAAACAAGGGGATTCGAATTCCTTCTTCCATGCTAAGCTGGATAAAATGTATTATGGGAGAAAATGGGAAAATGATTACTGATTGGGACCAAGTTAGAGATCATTTCATTAATTTCTTCCAGCAACAACTTGGAAGAAGCACCAACAAGGAGAATTCAAAGATGGAATTCTATCAGAAAGGGCACGTTTTGAATTGGCAACAACAACTTAGCTTGCTGAAGAAAGTCACAAAGCAGGAAGTGAGGGAGGTAATTTGGAGCATTAAAGGCAACAAAAGCCCGGTTTGGATGGCTTTGGCAGTGGCTTTTACAAAGGAGCATGGAACGTGATCAAGGATGATGTTATCATGGCAGTCTTGGAATTTTTTGAGCATGCCAACTGCTAAAGCAGGTAAAATCTACCATTTTAGCTCTTATACCGAAGAATGATGCTCCTCAGAATGCTTCGAAATACAGACCTATTGCATGTAGCAATGTGGTCTTTAAATGTATTTCAAAAATTATTTGTAATAGAGTAAAGTCTGTTTTGAATGAGCTTGTTGAAAAGAATCAAAGTGCCTTCGTAAGCAATAGATTAATCTTGCATAACATATTGCTTACTCAAGACTTTGTAAAAATGTATGGAAGAAAAAATGTGAGTGGCAGATGTATGTTGAAAATAGATTTAAAAAAAGCATATGATTTCATAGAATAGGGTTTTGTAGAGGAAATGCTAGATGAGTATAGATTTCCCAAATCCTTTACTCAGAAAGTGCTAGAATCTGTTAGAACTCCATCTTATACAATATCACTTAATGGTGAGAACTGTGGGTTATTTTAGGGAAAAAGGGGTTTGAGACAAGGTGATCCAATGTCTCCCCTCTTATTCGTACTTGTAATGGAATATCTAACAAGACTATTGGCAGATGCAGCGGAGCATATGGAGTTTAAATTTCATCCACAGTGTAAGGGACTGAGACTAACAAACATATGATTTGCAGAGTGATGAGAATCATATAGCCTTCTATGGTGATTCTCCTACTGAGGGGAATGAGCTAGTCTTTCATTCTAGTTTTGGAATGCCAAGTTTACTTTGTAGGCCAATCAAGGAAGAAAGGATGGATCTTGACTACCTATGTTATAGGGAGTTGGTACAAGAGAGCTATGATCAAGGTGATGAGAAGATCATTAACTTTGGGGTTCAAACCAAAGGAGATGATTCACTCATGGAAATAAGTGCTCAAGAGTATCAAAGGAGTTTGACTCTAGGTGCTCCATGAAGATCATTGACCAAGCTAGAGAGAAGAGTCATTTAGGTTCTTAAATGGACGGCCTAATTAATCAAAGTGTTCAAGATTGAGTCCATTGCTACGCAATTGGATAGGTTGCAAACTGTCTCAATTGTTTCAAGTGTTTTTCCAATCTTTTGGAGTCAATAAAGAGAATTCTACAAGTTTTGGAGTAAATTGGAGTTTTCTACAACTTGAGGGGTGCAAGACCAATATTCCACTTTTGAAAGGGCGTTCAAGACAATTTACTTTAATATTTGGAGCTGATTTTCGGATTTAGAGTATTATCTACTCTAGGAGTTTAATTTTCGAATTTATCTCGTTAAATAAGTCATGTGGACTGAATTAAACTAGAGTGTTTTGATTAGGAGTCTTAAATTCCTTCTAAGTATTATCCTATTTGAGGATAAGTCATTTAGATAAGGTTTCCTAGATTTTAGATAGATTCAAAGAGATCAAATACTCTTCTACTTCTACTCCTGCGTGAGATAAGATTAGAGAGTCCTAGTTGGTCTTCTTTTTTTGGTGCTTGGCCGAAATTCATGGCCTATAAATAGGAGGGGTATGGCCGAAAGTTAAAGCACCCTTGAGTGGTCATTTTGAGTCTTCTCTAATGAGAGTTTTTCCTGTGAGGAAATTTTGTTAAATGGAGTGTCCATTTTTCGTGTCAAGTATGATTTAACCAAGATGGTTTTCATCTTGTCTTAGATCTTTTGATCTTGCAGAAACCGTTCTTTTTCAAGTATGTTTCTTAATAGAATTGTTTTAAAACTAAACTTCTTATTTTCATACTACTTCTAGTAGTTCGAGAGTTCTTGATAGAACTAAACTAAACTTCTTGGTAGAATTGTTTTAACACTAAACTTCTTATTTTCATACTACTTCTAGTAGTTCGAGAGTTGAGCCTTTCTTTTCGCTATGGTTTTTGAATTCATGATGAGTGTGTTCATGAGTTCCATTGTGGGGTTTGTCCTACTCTTGTTGGATGAGTTGTGCTTTGGCATAAGCATTTTGAGATAGTGCATGTGTTGCATATCTTTGTTGGTTATGGAGATTACTTATCAATAGTATTCCTTCATAGTTGAGTATTGTTTGCTCCTACCTTTCTTGAGTCTCTTGAATGATGACTGATCGAGTATATTGAATGGTCTCCTTACTATTCTTAGTGTGGGTTATTGTTTAATTCGAATCTTTCATGGATAATGTGTTCTTTGCTTGGTTTGAGTTAAGAGATAGAAATCCTTAGATAAACGATCGTCTTACTGTGAATTTTCCGCACTCTTTTGAGTTTCACGGGATAGACAAATTATCGTCATACTTTCTTGTTTGATGGTTGCATTAACGAAATTTGCTTCATCTACGAGATTGCTATGACAGAGGATCTCATGATCTTCTGCAAAGCTAATGTTTACATAGTTTCAAAAATTATGAAAGTATTGGAAAAATCTTCTTTGGAAACGTCTCAGAGGAGGTTCAAGCTCAGTTGTGTAGTATTACAGGATTCAGGAAGGGCAAATTCCTGGTGAAATACCTTGGTGTACCCTTATCCCCCCAAAAGTGGAACAAGGCTAATTATGAGATGCTGGTTCAAAATATCACTGCCAAACTTAAATGCTGGAGTACCAAACACCTTAGCTACTTGGGAAGATTACAGCTTGTAAAATATGTGTTGCTTTCTATAAGTAACTTTTGGGTTTCTATATTCTTATTACCACACAGTGTCTTTCAATAGATCAATAAGCTTTGTAGAAGTTTTTTGTGGTGGATTAAAGACAGTGGAAGAAGTGTTGCACTTGTAAACAGGGATCATGTATGCCGAAAGAAACAAGAAGGTGGATTAAATATCAGAGATGTGCATGTATGGAATAAAGCTGCTATAATAAATAGGTTTAGTGGATTGCAGCTAAAGCAGACAACTTGTGGATCAAATGGATCCATGAGCATTATATCAAAAAGCAGGAATTCTGGAAGGTGCAACCTAAGCAAAGCTCATACTGGCACTGGAGGAAGATTCTGAGTATGAGAGACAGGGTCCAGGATGAGTTTGATGGGCAGAGATGAAAGCACAGTAGTTCTGGTCAATACACACTCACTTCTGGTTATGCTTGGTTAATTGATGAAAAGGAAGAGATGTCTGCTGCTAAATTTATTTGGGAAAGATACAGTGTGCTAAAACATGCTTTCATTGTATGCCTGTTTTGGCACAACAGATTACTTACTAAAGATAGGTTGTATAGAATGAATATTTTGAAGGATAATTTGGAATGTGGTTTATGCAAAAGTAAACCAGAGTCAGCAAGCCATTTGTTTTTTGGTGTAACCAGTCTGTTGCCTTGCTGAGAGAGGTAGGCAGATGGTTGCAAATTCCAATTCAGTCAGGGGATCAGATTGCTTGGAGAAACATGATGCTGGAATGGTGTAAATGTTGAAAGTTGAGGAGAAGGATTCTATATGCTACCATGGCGGCAACTATATACCATATTTTGGAGGAAAGGAATCAGAGGGTTTTCTCAGACAAGCAAAGGAATGTGGAGATGATCCTGAAGTTGATTAAACAGGAAGTATTTTGGCGCATTGAAGTCTGCAAGGCTAAAAGAACTGCCACAGAAGAGAAAATTTTGAAAGTGCTTTTTCCTTAGTTTTTTGTACATAGATCAGATTACTCAGTAGAAAAGTAGCAGTAGAATGGGTGGTTATTTGGTGTAAATATGAACTTCATTGAATATCAATATATATTTATGTTTTACCAAAAAAAAAAAAACTATCCTGTTTATAATTTCCTAACACTCAACATTTGACCACTTCTTTGGGGACAAGGCTATCCCAAGGTAAGTCATTGGGAAATTTCCAGCAGTAAACCCAATGATTTTACAAAACTCCTCCTGTTTCTTTAACCCTACACCTCTGAAATATATTGCAGACTTCTGAGCATTAGCCACTAATCCAGTAGTACAAGAAAACTCATCAAAAGCAGTCTTGATTATCCTAACTGTTTGCTCATCTGCTTTACATTAGGTCATCCGCAAAGCAGATTTTAGTGAGCTTTAGTTGTTTACACTTTGGATGAAATTTAAATCTATCATTAGCTACTCTTTTCAAGCTACGAGTCAAGTACCTCCATAACTAACAAAATAATAGAGGAGAAATTGGATTTCCTTGCCTCAGTCCCCTTTTCCCAGCAAAAAAAACCCACGTTACAGCCATTTAAAGATAAACTGTTGGATGGTGATTTGATGCAAGCCATAATCCATTTCTTGAATAGTTCCGAGAAGCCAAACCCTAACATCATTTCCTCAACAAATCCCCGTTCTACTGAATCATATGCTTTTTTCAAGTCTATTTTATCATAATTCTACAACTAATCCGTTTCCTTCTATAATTCCTAATAAGCTCCTAAATAATTAATACATTATGCATGATGAGCCTATTCTTAACAAAAGCATTCTGGTTTTCATCTACCAGAACAGGCAATACTTCTTTTAATCTATCACATAGCACTTTTGAAATACATTTATACAATACATTACAGCATGCTATCAGTCTAAAATAGCTAGCATTTAACGAAGACTTTATCTTAGAAATTAATTCTAGAGTAGTGGAGTTCAGTTGTTTAAGTACCTGGCCTGATTCGAAGAACTCCAAGATAGCTCATGTTACATCCTTGCCAATCACCTCCCAAGCTGCCTTGTAGAAGCCGACTCCAAATTCATCAGGTCCTGGACTCTTTGTTACATTCATTTCCCATAATGCTGCCTTAACTTTTGTTATTATCACTGGTTTGATTAGTCGAAGCTGCTGGTCAATGTCCAGAGTTGATCCAGCTGCAAAGGTTGCGGAATTAGCTTGACTTCTCCCTGAGGACTGTCCCAGCAAATTCTGATAAATTTTGATGAAGTGATCCTCTATTTCTATACAGTTAGTAATTTCATTCCCTGATTCATCCACCACTGCCCAAATCCTGTTCCTCATGTTCCTAACATTTATGACAGAATGAAAATATTTTGTACTTTCATCCCCTTCTCTAACCACTGTTCCTTCGCCTTCTGCTTAAGAAAACTATTAGCAGCTTTTCTGGCCACCATATACTCATTAAATGCCAACCTCTCCTCCTTTTGAATTTCAACATTACTGGGATATGACTTAATGATTCTTTCAACCCTTCAAGTTTCATTTGTTTTTTTTTTAAAAAAAAAAATCCACCCCAGTGGACCCCAGTTAAATGTGGCTAAACACCCCCCCTTTACAAATGCCTTGTGGGAATCAAACCCTGATCTATTACCAGGAAAGATAACACTCTAACCACTAGGCTATCATTCAATTTCCATGTTTCATTTGTTTCCTATAAGCAGCATCCACAATATCATCAAATTGCTGTCTATTTAACTCTCTCAACTTAGGTTTCAACAACCTCCCTTTTGCACATACTTGATGTATTTTGGTACCTCTAATATTACTTTCCAAAACCCCCTTGACAATACTTAGGAACTGTTAAGATTGACCCCACATGTTAAAGTACCGAAAAGATTTTGGTTTTGTCACTATAACCCCTCTCAGCTGAACTTCTAAAAGGGAGTGATCAGAAATAATTTCCAGAAGAACTGTTACTAAGGATTCATTAAATTGATCCACCCAATCCTCATTAACCAGCAACCTGTCAATCTTTGAGTAAAACCTTTCCTCATTAACCGAAAGCCAACGGGCGAAGCCGGAATTGTCCCAATGCAAACCCTAATTTGGAGGCCTGGTTTAATTAACCTTTGCCTTCTGAAACGTTGTTGGTCATCCACTCCATTCAATTTTTCCTTCCAACTCTGGGCATTCTCTTCTTCGTCCTCAGATTACACCAATCAGTCTTGTGGAAGTCTTCCCCGCTTCCACTCTGATTCGCTCCCTACCTCCAAGGGTGGTGTTGTGGTGTTCAAGGTGATGAGTTCTGGCATATGACGAAGGTCATGAGATTAAACACCAACGATAGGGTAGAACTCTTCAATGGAAAAGGAGGTCTAGTTGAAGGATTCATACAGAACATTGATCGTACTGGAGCTGATTTTGTGGCTCTGGAGAATGCAAAGTTAGTTCCTCCCATGGCCACTCAGTGGCATGTGTTTGCCGCTTTTGGAACTTTGAAAGAAGGCCGTGTTGATTGGCTTGTGGAGAAATACACAGAGTTGGGAGCTAGTAGTGTGACACCTTTGTTGACTGAGCGTTCTCCTTCCATTTCAGATAACCGATTTGACAGATTAGAATGTATTATTTTTGTTGCATCTAAACAATGTCAGCGATTGCATGAATTAACTTTGAGACCTCCTCTAAAGATCAGTGGACTTCTGCCTCTTGTTGCTCAGACAAAACTGTCTTTCATTGCTGTTGCGGAGGCTACTCCTATTTTAAGTGCTTTAAGTTCATTGGAGAAAGAATCATCTGGTCTAATGATAATTGGACCTGAAGGAGACTTCACTGTGAAAGAGTTGAGGATGATCATGGAAGCAAGTGCAACAGCAGTTGGTCTCGGCCCACATCGGTTACGGGTTGAAACTTCTACAATTGCCTTTTTGTCAACTTTAATGTTGTGGTCCAACTCTGAGGAAACACTATAAAATGATTCACTACCAGGAGAGGCAATTTTTGGGGTTCTAGGGTGTTTCTTTTTCTTTTTATCTGTAAACATGTTGCCACAAGCTCAGACAAATTTGAATGTACTAGGTTCACTAACAGATTGTTGCTAATGTGTATCAAAAATGCTGCATCGACCGAATTGCTGAATGTTAGTGTAAGTTGTTTTCTCTTACTAGCAACCAAGAAGGAATCAAAGCAGTTTCTTGTTTGTTTTGATTTTGGATATATTCATGTCTTCAATTGATGTAGAAGCAGAAATGTTATATTCCGTAATCATCTCTAAAAAAAAAAACACCATGTGAAGATTCTCCATGTTTGTCGTAAATCCCGAACTCCACAATCTTCTAAACAATACTAGAATTCTTCATAGTCTTTCAGTTCCACCATTTTCTCACCTAACTTCTCCTCAGGTTTAAGGATGTTATTAAAATCACCTATGAGAACCCAAGGTCTAATCACCTTCCTTGATAGAATCATTAAGTCATTCTATAGTAGAATCATTTCCTCAACTTCATTATCAGCATAAACAAGTAAGATAAAACCTACTGTCATCCCTTTTTAGTCTACAAGTGTAATGCACACATTCAGCAGTTTCATATTCAAAATTTACTTCAATACTATCATCCCATAATACTATTATTCTCCCCTTCTCCTGACTTTTATGATTTATCAGTCATTTCCACCCTTGCCAACTGGAATTAAGATATTCATCATACCTAGTCTTTAACATTTTTGTCCCCACCAAGGTCACCAAGTTATACTTCTTCATATTTACCATCCTCTTTAACTCCTTTTGTTTCAGGGGAGAGTTCAAACCCCTTATATTCCCTGAAAGGATGCTACACATTAGAACTAGGACCAGGAATGAGCAGAGTGCTCTCCACAGACCCAATTCTAATTTGTGGGTTAAAGCCACTATCCAATCCAGTTACAATTTTTTTTAGGCATCTCAGCTTGAGACTTCCCAGCAACTGTATCCTTAGTATCATAGACAACAATTTAACTGCTTTTGTCCATATTTAATTTCTTATTCTCTTTATTTGTCCATTATTTTATTTTTTTTTGCTCTATTTCTTATGTTGTAATCTTGCCAAATTAATTTAATCTCCGATGATTAATCGTTGAATGCCTTCCCATTAAACTTATGTTGATCAAAATTTACAACGTTCGAAATTAAATTTTATGATCTTTAAATAATTTTACTTTTTAAATATAATTTGCAGATTCTAAATCAATACTAAGCAAAAGAAATTTGTTATCAAAGGCATTGGGCATTTGCTCGGGATGAGAATCTACGAATATGTAAGTTATTACACTTAATTATCATGTTTTTATTGTTAGTTTGACAAAAGAAAATTTTACTCCCTCCGTCCCATAATTATTGTTCAGTTTGAGTTTTCATTTCTAGTTCAAATTGTACTAAAAATAAAATATCAAATTGGACAATAATTTTGGGACAGAGAGAGTATTTGATTATAATACAATATAATGCCAAAAGAAAATGTATGAAGTCGGTCGGGTTTTTGCCGGGGTTGAGAATCTAGTTAACGGATTATTTTAATACTGTCTCCGATTCTGCTTATAAAATATTTTTGTTTCTCCTAAATATTTTTGGAAAAATTTGGCTAAAAGACAGTAGAAAATGTCAAATTAATAAAAGGGGTATAACCAAAAAATATTTTGTATAAAGGGCGGTAATTTATTTGTCAAACATCTCAAAATAAAAAATATTTTGAATGTACAATATCACCGTTATAATTTCTTATCCACAAATTAGTAAAAAAAACATGAACACAACAGAGTGTTGGTACACCTGCTTGAGATGATTCTAAACGACCGGAGGGATCAGCCTGAAATTCTTAAGAGATTCATAAGTCCAACCGTTTCTTGCCGCTGATTGTGAATCGAAGAACGAAGAAAACCCTTTCATTTTCAATGCTCGATCTTTCGCTTTCCGTATTACTAAGAAGATCGATTGAAAAAGATCTGTAAACTCAATGACAATGGATCTCCAGAACCACTTGCAATTCCCACCTCCTACAACCTCCATATCTAAACTAATTTTAATTCCTAATTTTTTTTTGTTTTTAAATTTTATACAAAAAATAAAGCTCTGGGTTTTGTGAGTTCATTTAACAAAACAGTCATTCCATGGTTATTCCATCAAACATACGATTTGTAAGAGAAACTATAAGGGTAATATTGTTAATTGATAATATTTTTTATTTTTGAGATTTTTCCAATATTTTTTATTGTGCTTTTGATCTCATAATAAAACTTTAAAAAATATATCTTCACATTTATTGTGTTCTCCCGATTTTTATAAAATATTTTTAAGGTTTCATTTTCAATTAATAGAAAAAACGTATATAAAACTTAAGAGAAATCTAAATGTTTTATAATAAGAAATGGGAAGTACTTCTTTAGTCCCAATAAAATTCACATTATAAATTGTAACCAAATTCACATTATAAATTGTAACCAAAGCATTATTATTTTAGTTTATAACATAAATTATTTTTGTGTAGTAGTAATTTTATTAAAGCAATCGGAAGAAAGAAAAAAAAAAGAACAAAATGCAATGTGCAAATGGTGCACGCAGATCACGTGACGTGAGACTACACGAGAAGAGATAAAGATACAGTCATACAGATACTCTCTGAATCTGGACAAAAACAGCCACAACGCAAGAATCCCAATGCGTGCTTTAAAGTTTCACCTTGCCCTTTGCTCACGCTCCAAAGATTTCCCATTTTCTAATTAAGTAAATTGTTTTTATTCGGACCAGCTTAATTTGAAGATTAACCTAATTACCTAAGTTACCTAACTACTTAATTAAGTCCACACAAAAAAAGAAAATAAAACAAGAAACTACTTATTCCCTGATGAATAATTGTTCAATTTAAAATTTTAATTTTTATAATACATGCTTTGAGTTTAATTTCTCTTGCCATAAAAGAATACTGGTTTCCCATATCGAATAAAAGAACACAGTGATGCAAGTATCTTTTGGACATGTTCATGTCACTTGTGTTATCTTACGTTTGCACGCACATCGTTCAAAAAGTATAATATTTTGGACGATTTTATTTTATGAATAAAAGATTTTTATCAGAAAAATACGTCGAAGAATTGCTTTGGATTGATTAAATCTCATCATTTTAAAAGTTTTGCTTAAGCTATATTCCTTCTTCAATTTAATCCGTTTTGCTAATCAAAATGAAAAAGTTAAAAGCTGCAGGAGGGTTTAACTTTGGGCAATTTTTCAGCCGATTATTTACATTTCGGCGGCGAATAAATTTTGGGTGTGTCAATTCGATAGGATAATCACTTTGATTATTTCATGATGTTGTATGCATTTTTTTTTTTAATCTTCATAATACACTTGACATTTTATAGTCAACCATTCAATCCCAAGAAAGAAAAATACTTCAGTCTGATCCATCAGAAAAATATTAACTAAACAACACTGCTTTCCATAAGTATATTTGACTATACTTTGTTATGACTGCTGATGCTAGAACACGCACGTAAACAAAATCATGGATGACAAACAAGCTTGCTCAAAAACATCAAAGTTGATTTGGGGTCTTTTTTATATGTGGAGGAACGTGGTTTATGTATCTTTGTTTTTGACTTTGCTAGTATTGATATATGTTTTTAATCCATGTAAACTCTTACATTAGAGACAAGATTAGTCAAATCCATGGATCTAATCTCTTACTATATTCATATAGATGTAATTACTCTTTGAATTTTTATTAGTGTTTGCAAATATATATATCTCGATAAAATTATTGTCAACATCATGCTGTCAAGATTTTTTTGTTCATACCGTAATTAGAGAATTAGGGTTTTGCTTGGTTGGGATAACAGAGAGGACAGACACTTACAAATGATTATTATTATTGCTACATGGTATATATATATTTAATGAGGTGGAATTAAAGTCATGAAAGAGTTTTTTTTTTTTTATTTTATAAAGAGACAAAAGTTTAGACGATTACACATAACTTATTATGAATTCAACACTGAGATATTTTGATACGGGTTCATTTAAATATTTTTTAATTTTTTTTTAAAAAAAATTTAACTAACAACAGGAAATGGTCTTGAACTATACATAGTACATGAGATATTTTCTCTCATATTTATATCTATTATTCGGCAAATTTAATCAATCTTCGATATTTTTATTAGGACACAGGGTGTATTGTATTTTGATACGTGTCTATTTAAATGTTTACCAAATTTTTTAAAATCTAACTAACAACAGAAAGTAATATTGAACTGTGGTATAAGAGATATTTTTGCTCATATTTCTATCTATCATTTTGCAGATTTATCATTCTTCCATTTTTGTGAGATTTATAAGTGTAGAATCTAAAATTTCCACACTATATGGCGTAGGAAGAAGCCTACGAACTAGAAAAATCAATTTGTCTCTCGGTTGTTAGACATTTTAAAAGACTACTCATTATTATATTACACTCACTCTTAAGTCTAAATATCATACAAATCATTCCTTTCATTTCCATTGAAGAATTCGCAATAACGGACCCTTTCATTTCTACATAAAAGTATATGACATATCCTTTTTTTTTGCGGTAAATTATAAACCACCCCTTTCGTCTGAATCACATTGTTATTTCTTAAGGGGATAAAAAATAAATAAAATTTATATACTTGAACGAATTCTGTTATTCGAAAGATTCTGAATATTCCATGCTTCAATCCTAAGCTGCACCTAAAATCAACAGCCTTTATTGGCATTTTAATATGTTGCCCTACGCTCCAAGCTGATCCGTGAAAACAATATCAATAATTTTGTTTTGAGGAGCGTAAATGAATTAAACCATTCATGATTCATGCACCTCTCACAAGAATTGAGCGGAGCGGGTCGGATTGTTGTTATCATAAAAAATAAAACTTCCAGATTTGAGAATTACAAGTATTTCTTTTTAATTTTACAATATCCCTAATAGATTTTCTTGATTATTGTGATAAAAAATAGAAACAGTTGTAGTATTTGTCTGTTAAATGTCGCATATGAAATTTTTAGTTCAATTTTTTTTTTTAAAACTAACAATGATAGAAACAGTGATAGGTATTAAAAAAAACAGTATAGTAAAAAAATATAGTGACTGATGCGTAGACAATAATTAAAAAAAAAAGTGTAATATTAAACTTTATAAAGAAAATGATAAAATTTCAACGATAAATTACCAACAAAATAGAAATCTACATTAGTAATTATGTTGACTCAAATATTCTGGTTTCAAAGTCGACTCGGCTCGTTTACACTGTTTTTGTCGCGTATTTCCACCTCCCTATACTCGCGACTGGGATTAATCTGTATCCATCTCTCCCCAGCTCCAAAAAAAAAAAAAACCTACGGCAACATCAACAAACCCGCCTCCAAAACCCAACCCCACCAAAACTTCAACAACATCGACGTCTTATAATTTTTTAAACAAAAAAAAGTAGGCAGCAGCCACCAATAAAAAGACTCCGCCACCGCCCTTTTCAGTTCACCTTTTTTTTTCCTCAGCCGCTTTCTCTTTCTTCCCTCACGAATCACGTTGATCTACCCAGGGCTTTTTACACGCCGGAGTTGAGGGGGAGGAAAAAAAAGCTGCGATTCACCAACAATGTCGATTGCTCTCACCAGCTTTATTACTCCCCGGCGCTTTCTCCCTCACTCCGACGGCCACCGTTACTTCGCCTCCGCCTCCGCCTCCGTTCACCACCAACTCGGCATTAGCTGCAATCTGTCGCTCCACCACTCCTCCCGCACTCCGAAAAGTACTCCGACCAGCCGGAATGTGGCTCTGTTCACTTTCTGTTCTCCCAAGGAAAACGTCATAACCAACGTCGGCGCCGGTGAGGTAGCTGAAACTCCCGAGTTAGATAATAGTGACGGTAATAACAACAACGGTAATCTCTCCGGCGGCAGGGGTGGAGAAGGGGGAGGTGGTGGAGGAGATCACAGCGGTGACGGAGATAACAATTTTGGGGAAAATAACAATAAGAAGGATGCAATGATGGTTTTGGCGGATGCCGGGAGGTCAATCGAGAGCCTGCCTAATGATTTAAAGGCGGCGATCGAGGATGGTAGAATACCTGGATCCATTCTACTGAAATACTTTGATTTGGAAAAGACGCCTCTGTTCGCGTGGTTGATGAAATTTGGAGGGTTTAAGGAAAGGCTGTTGGCTGATGATTTGTTCTTAGCTAAAGTTTTGATGGAATGCGGCGTTGGTATGTTCACAAAGGTACATGATTTCAGTAACCTCTCTTTATTTCCTTTTCTTTTTTGCCAATTTGATGGAGGTTTCAGAGTCCATTGATGTGTGTGTTGTATAATCATGTGATATACAGGGCAGTACAAATTGTACACTGGTCTGATGGGATAATCCCTGATTGTTTGGTTTATTAGTGGACACATGTTCAAATCTTTGTGCCTTGATTTTGCTGGTTAAGAAAAATGCATGCCATCCTCTGCTTTTTTAGTGAAAAGACAAGATTTTTATCCTGTGTATTCATTGACATCGCTAGTATGCAGTTTGAATTAATTGGTCTTTGAAGTACCGTGTTAAGTTTGAATTAATTGGTCTTTGGAGTTCCGTGTTAAGTGATTGCCTAAATTATCCAATTCATGTCTCTGTTTGTGTTTTTCCTTGTTCTTTTGAAAATTTGTGGAGGGAATTTAGTGGCTAGATAGTGGAGACAACAGTAAGTGGAAGTGGGAACTTAAACAGCCGCAGCCGGCTGTTCTACTTCTTTTGTTATCAAATGATTCTAAGGAAACAAAAGGTTGTTAATTAACAAGAACAAAAGTGAAGAACACAAATTCTGTGGTTAAAGATGTATTAATGTTCCTTTTGTAAGTTGTCTAAGAGTCACTTTGTTTGAAATCTTACAAGGTTTGTTTGAAATCTTACAAGTCACTTTGTGGTTAAAGATATATTAATGTTCCTTTTGTAACTTGTCTAAGAGTCACTTTGTTTGAAATCTTACAAGGTTCAGTGTTATGGTCTGTTAGACATTTACTTACTTTTTCCACAAAAAGGATGAACCACCTTCTCAGTTAAAATGCATTTTTTTTAATTTTGTAGAATTCTCCTCCCTAACCCAGAATGGCGGGAATCTGTCTTTGCATGAGAAAGTTTGTTCACTCATAAAGATAATGATGCAAGAGATCAATGGAATGAAGTTTGCTTGTGAGAGCAACTCTAAACACCTTTAGAATGCTTTTGAAATTAGCCAGTTCAATATGGTCTTCTTAAACTCCATTTTTTGGAAATGACGTGCTTTATATAACTTGGTGGATCATAGGAACTTCCTATATGACTTGGCTTTTCTTTTTGCTCAATTTATGTTTGTGCTTCTCCTAATAACCCACGTTAATGTTTTAATCATCTTTTTTGAAATAGCCATGTCAATGTTATCTTGTTTTGGCTGAATTACATTTGAACTATATCTTTGAACAGTCCCCCTTTTTCTCTTTTGTGTGTGTGTGGTTGGGATGGGCAGGGGCAGATTCTACAATGTTATATCTTCTAGTTTTATCTGGTCCGATCCACTAGACTTTTAACATTAGATTGAAGAACTTGACGTGCTTGTCTGTTTTATAACGTAAATTAATCATTTCCATTGCTAGTTTTACCATTTCTGTTTTTATAAAGCAAAGTTATCATTTCCATAGTTTTACCTCTATCCTTGTCAAGATGTGAAAGCTGGAGCTCCATTAACTTGAGCGAGAATCAGTTCAAAAGGTATGCATTGGCTGCAAGATTGTATGGGTATCTTGCTATATAATGCTATTGTTAGTAATGGTGAATAGAAACTTCTTATAGAGGAAATTTAGCTAATCATCTGCCAAAAGTTGACCTTCGTCGGTAATCTGATGTAACTAGCAAATGTAAGAACAAGTTTGTTTTCTTTCTATTCTATGTGTTCTCCAATTTCAACCTGAGATTGCTTATTAAGATCTTGTTGGTTTATCCTTAATATATATATATATATATATATATATATATATATATATATATATATTTTCTCCAGACAGCTGCAGAGTATGAGCGACGCAGGGAGAACTTCTTCAATGAGTTGGAAATTGTGGTTGCAGATGTGGTAGGTAACTGTTATTTAATTGTTTACAAAATCATGTCTTCTTTTTTCTTTTTCCTTCTGCATTTTAGTTGAGTTCCTTTACCATTTCTGTGTTTAGAATTCAGATTATGTTCTAAAAGTGGCAATATTCCCTTGTTAATTTTTCCAGCTTTTCCTTCATAATAAATTTAATGAAATGAAATGTTTTTGGGCTGATAACAAAAGTATCCATTACTTTAGATAGAAGGCCTTCTTTTTCTAATTTAAAGTGATCTTCTTGGTCTTCACTTCTGAATTGAAAGTGATCTGTTGTCTTATGATTGGCAACATCCCACTGTCTCAATCCAAAATGACATACAAACTGTTGAGTTTTTGTTTTTTTTTTTCTTCTGAAGATAGGAATACAATATTTTTAATTTTCTAGCTGCCATCCTTTACTATTCTTCATTGCTGTTATAATTGCTCAATTTTTAGGGATCATGTATGGGTATTTTTCAATTATGTTTCAAAAGATTTTCATGTGTGGTTCATGTATTAATTTGGACAAAGTCTTAGAAATCCTAGTGGCTGTCTCATGGACTGTTTCAGGTTAGGGACCAAAAAGATCAATTGAAAATTTCAAATGTAGAGGGCAAGAAGGAATTTGAAATATGCAAATGTAAAGAACAAACCCTACTTCTAAACCAAATGTAACGGGTGATTCAAATGCTATCTTTTTATAAAGCACATGCAATGTTTGTTCCATAGTGCAAATAACGATTATATATAGTGCCGGTTATTAATAATTTGACTATTTGGGTTTGGATAGGTGATGGCAGTGATTGCAGATTTCATGCTTGTCTACCTTCCTGCTCCGACAATCTCTCTTAGACCACCAATTGGAATGAATGCCGGGGGTATAGCTAAATTCTTTTACAGCTGCCCTGACAATGCATTTCAAGTAAGAATTGAATTGAATCTTTGGCAGTTTGCACAGATACCACTGCTTAATAAAAATGTTCAGACATAATGTTTATTTTAAATTTCTGTGCAGATTGCTCTTGGTGGAGCATCATATTCCTTGCTTCAGAGAATAGGGGCAATAGCGGTATGACTACTGTTGGAATTGTTACTTACTTTAAAAATGATTACCTATTTCACCCCAAGCTCATGTTATTTTATACTTCCAGCGGAATGGAGCAAAACTTTTTGCTGTTGGAACCACTTCATCTCTTGTAAGGCCTTCTTTTCTTCTGTTCTTGCTAGTCATTAACAAGTTCTGATGTTTTTATGGCCTCACCTATATTTACTCTCTGCACGTGATCTGCTATTTAACGACTCACCGCTGAGCATCTCGATAGACCTGACAATGTTGTTTTTCTGAAGATAAATTTACGTCTGTGGTCCATTTTTATGTGGCTAGCACTCTTTTTATCCATGTTACCATTATGCTATTCCACTTTTTGACATACTCCAGAAGTGCCTCTGTTCTAGTTTCCGTACATGAATACTGTCTTCACTTGCTACACTTGTAGCTGAAGTAGAGTCCCTTGCAAACTTAATTGGTGCTTGGGGAGCACCCTAAAAGTTTGCTGGTACTAGTAATTATAGAAACATAATGCATATATCTAGTAATCTGGGAATAAGTTCATGAAATAGTTTTCTCTGCTCTCTTTGCTTGGTCTTGCTAATGCACAGATACTTGATAGAATCAAAAGTAAAAGATTGAAGCACTTGTAATTGTCTGCTAATCTCTGTCTATCTTGATTATCTATTGCATCGGGCCTGATTATCTGCACGATAGATTTCTAAGTATTGCTGTAATGTCCTAGAATAAGGTTGAGCTTCTAAAAATCTTCCATACATTAAGTTAAGGTAGCACTCATTAACTTTCTGTGAATCTGTATTGAAAGTAACCTCAACTAATTTACACATGTCATATTCTCTCCTATTTAGTGACTGTCTGCGTACTTCTTGGGGTCACAGCGGAGTCAATGTTGAAGTTTCATTGGTTTTTGGAAGTAACATAATATTTGTGACCACTAATGAACTAGACCGGGTAAAACAAATACATGCCAGTGTGTTTTTTGTGATTATTTCCTGTCATTTTGTGTCATTTTTGTGGCTTCAAACGAATGAGAGTGAGATATAAAAAGAAAATAAACAGAAAGATGGGATGACTCTTGTGTTTTTTTTTTTTTTTTTTAATTTATTGCCTTCTCAAATCAAGTTACCTGCATTCCTCAAATTTTCAAAATCCCAAAATGGTTTCCGTGTTTATAATAATGCTATTGACAAAGTTATCCTAAAAGGAAATAGTGCCAAGTAGAACAAGATGTCCAACTTCCATCCCATGTTGTAGATGTTTTCGACTCTTCATAAACTGACTTTCTTGTGAACCGCGTCTGGTAATATGTAATGTCATCATTTCGGATGTTTTATGATCGCGGTGCCATGCTTCAGAGGTAAACATAATGTCATCATTTCGGATGTTTTATGATCGCGGTGCCATGCTTCAGATGTAAACTTAGGTGTCTGTGCAGTACTTTAAATAATTATCTCTGGATACCTTTTTTGCTGAAATGCAGTAGCTTTGTTCGGAGCATAAGAGAGAAGTCAATGCCACTATTTATAGTTTCATTCTTGCACGTGTCTTTCATCTTTCAATCCTGCATTCGGGTTCCTCAGCATGTTCTTCTGTATTCGTCTTTTGTTCTTTGGCTCTCCTTTCCCCCTATTAGATTCAAGTAGTGTGGAATTGGGCCTAACTTGAATTCTTTCCAGGTTGGCACTGTTGTGACCAATGCTTTCATTAATGCGAAGAAGGCTGTTAATTCATCCTCAGCTGATGAGATCGAGAATGTTCCTGTACTATCCACGAGTGTGGCGTATGGTGTCTATATGGCGGTTTCCAGCAATCTTCGGTAGGTGAACCATGGCTTGATTTTTGAGAAAATTTTCAAACTGTTTCCATCTTAAGTCGCACGGGAAACCTCTCTTAAGTCATAAAAGCACTTGTACTCTTAGTTGAGGCAAGAAGAAAACCTTATTAGATTTCAGTTCTTATGTTGAGTGTTGTTGGATCACTAACCAGAGGATGGCCATTTAAAGTATTTTTTCCTTTTTTGGGTGCAACACTCTGAAATCTGTCTTTCTTGAAACAGATACCAAATTGTGGCTGGTGTTATTGAACAAAGGATCTTGGAGCCCATGCTACACCAACAGAAGCTACTTTTGAGTGCACTGTGCTTCGCAGTTCGTACAGGGAACACATTTTTAGGATCACTATTGTAAGACTAGCCATTCTCTCACTAAATCCAATCTTACTGCATCTTATTGTTTTGGATTCTTAAACCTTTGGAATTGATCGGGCAGGTGGGTTGATTATGCTCGTTGGATTGGAGTTCAGAAGGCTCAAGAATTAGAAGAATAAGTGTTTCATTTGGTAAACTCATCCTCAGAAACTGTTTCGCGCGCTCCCTTACCTGAAGTTTTGTAAGTGATTGTTGACCTCCTCAGTAGTTGGCATGCGCGGACACTCTAGGCTCTAAGATTATTTGTTGAGTTTGTAATGGCTTGCACAGAGATTTTATGGGTGATCCAATTCATATATATTGTGCCGAGCCAGTATTTGTCTAGGTTTTTTCACGTTTCTCTTTTTTGAGTGATTAAGATTAGGCTGTCGGTTCAGGTGGTGATTCGATTACACAATGTGTATAAAACTTTGACATGTTTACTGTTACAAGGGCATACTTAGCAAAACTTTGCCTTGAGGGAGAGACTTCTCTTCTATGGACAAAATGAGCAGATGAGATTTTTTTTTTTTTTTTTTTTTATCATAGTCACCAGTACTTAGAATTATGCTGAATTTCGTATTGAAAGAGTTTGTAACCTTCAACATAATCCTTATCAAATGAGTAAACACTACTTGAGTACATTAATTAACTTGAGTAAATTAAATTGATTATACCGGTTTTATCCTTACAAAAATTGAAACTCTAATTAGGTGCATCGTAAATCGTAATTAAACAGTACTAACGCAGGTGACTTGAAATTTGGGACGATTGGAATCCATGTTGACTGTTGAGTAGGTGCGTGATTTACTTTGCCATGTTATTGGGCTCAAAAGGCTAACCTTGAATTCGTGTTTCGAGAGCAGCCTGGCGCAGCCAATTTGCAGTCAACTTCACTGGTGGCTGGCCTCATGATTTTCTCCTCATGGTTGGGCATATTCAATATCCTGTCTCTAAATGTAACTAGGAGATTTGTGTCAAACTATAAACCGTGATGCACAAATCATATCGAAGATGTAACTTGATTATTATAGTAGTATAACTTATTCTATGGTTGTTAGTTCAACAAAATAGTAGACTAAATAAAATGGTTACGAAACAACCAGTTTCCTCACACCCGCAGAACAAAATATCCCGTATTCAGAAGACATTACGACAACCATTTGAAAAGTCGGTGCCGTGAAAAGAATGAATACAGCGTACTTTGACCATCACAATCTAAATCGACCAGGAATTAAATTAAGAACATGGACTTCAGCGAGGTTTTCCACGGGAAACAAACGATAAGCCTTAAAGTACATAGAATATTCCACCTAAACTGCTAACAGTTTCGTAGTAGCACACCTTGTCCTCTCCAATTCCATCCTAAGCAAACTAAATCTAGGTATCGAAATCTATTCAGCTTTCATTAGGAATTCCGAACGACAACACCTTCTTTTTAGTCGTAGTTATAATAATCTATTCAATGTTGGTCAGATATATCTACCCAATCGAGTTTCTTCGTTTTCTATGTTCCCTCCACGATTCGGCATGAATAATTCTCTATTACATCTGTTCAGATAATGAATCATTGATATTCCATGGTGTCCACATTTGTTCATGATTTTCCCACTTACTTTTTATGATCAAGTTTGGATGAGAATTTAAACAGCTACATATCTCAATTTGGTTGTTTTCATCTTTTCATTTGCATTTACCATGAAGAACCAACTTGGTGGAATCTCTTTGATTCTAGGACTTCTCTTCTTCTTCATCTTGGTTTTCTTCTTCAACTCATCGTGCACTTCGATTAACGGTATTAGTAGTTTCGGTTGTCGCGGTTTTTTGAACTCGACCGCCTTGGAAGATGATTCCGCAACGTCTCTCAAGCACCTCGCATTCGGGTTACAAGGGTCCGAAAAGACGTACCATTTCCGGAGATACTACGTTGAATCATGGTGGAGGCCGAACGAACTTAGAGGGTACGTTTATCTTGATAGAGCTCCTCAAGGTGACCTTATTCCATGGCCAAAACATTCACCGCCTTTCCGAGTCAATGACAACATCACCAAACTGCTAGACGAGATCAAACCGGTCAACCCTCTTATGCCCCGAATGGTTCATGGGATTTTAGAGTTGTTTCGTGAAGAACACAAAGATCTTAGGTGGTTAATAATGGGAGATGATGATACCATATTTTTTGTGGATAATTTGATTGAAGTGCTTTCGAAGTATGATCATAGAGAGTATTATTACATTGGAAATCCTTCTGAATTTGTTTTGTCCAATTTTTGGTACAATTTTAATCAAGCTTTTGGCGGTGGTGGAATTATTTTAAGTTACCCTTTGGCCAAAGCACTTGTAGATAGTATGGATCTTTGCTTAAGGATGTATTCAAATCTTTCCGCTGATTTGATGACAATGGCTTGTTTAGCTGATCTTGGAGTTAATTTAACTCCCCATAAAGGCCTTCACCAGGTTAGTAGTTTTGTATTTCGTTTATTTTTTTTAAGAAATTTGTTTCCACATATGTAGTTTGGAACGAAATTAACTTTCAGAACAATTTACTGTTGTAGATGGATCTAAGAGGTGATGTATCAGGTTTCTTGTCGGCACATCCTAAAGATCTGGCATTGTCGTTTCACCATATTGATTCGGTAGATCCATATTTCCCTTCAATGGATCGCGCGAATTCATTGAAACACCTAATGAAAGCCAGCAACGTTGATCAATCGCGCTTGTTTCAACAAACCATATGTTACGAGAAGGCAAAAAATTGGTCATTTTCGACTTCTTGGGGCTACTCGGCACATATATACGAGAAAATAATGCCTCGTAGCTGGCTAACAAGGCCGATTGAAACATTCAAGACGTGGCAACCTAGCCCGAACCCGCCCCACTACATGTTCAATACCCGAAACCCGTCCAGTAACCCTTGCGAAACTCCTCATTTGTTTTTTCTTGAATCGGTTAGGAAAACTTGGGGTGGTCACATTCTTACAAGATATTCGAGGTCAGCTCCGAGGAATATACCAGCTTGTGCTGTTACCGGGAACCATTCTGCTGAAGTTATCTCCAAGATCGATGTGATTTCGCCAGCGACTAAGCGTTACGAGGTTAGTTAATCCACTGATATTTGTCCTTTTAAATGATTTTGTTTGTTTAAAATGTACTCTCTCCATCCCATAATTATTTTCTATTTTTAGTTCAAATTGTATTAAAAGTGAAATCTCAAACTGGACAACAATTTTGGAGTATCTATCAATGTTTCTTCTTGCTACAAATTTTTTTCGCTTCAAGTTGTCAGTTAAATTTGTGGGATTATCTTGTGAAAAGATGAATTTCTTGTGTCTCTGTTCACGTACATGTTGTACAATATATATAGTCATGATTTACATAAACCCTAACCGTCTACCGAAACCCTATTTAGGGTTACCTAAAATACACATCCTATCATCCCCTCGCAATCTTAGCAGGATAAGATATCATGCCCAAGATTGGTACGAAACACATAAAATTTATCTTTAGCTAAGGACTTGGTGAAAACATCCGCCAGCTGAGACTGCGTAGGAATATGACGAACAGACAGAAGACCAGCTGTAACTCGATCACGAACAAAATGAATATCTAACTCAATGTGTTTCGTTCTGGCATGAGAAACAGGATTGATAGCAAGGTAAGTAGCAGAAACATTATCACACAATATAACAGGAGACTGGGGAATGGTAACGTGAAGCTCAGAAAGAAGATGTTCCAACCAAATAGTCTCGGCTAAGGTGGAAGCAACCGTACGGTACTCAGATTCTGCGAAAGAGCGCGAAACCGTAGACTGCTTTTTGGAGGACCAAGAGACCAAGGAGGATCCCAAAAAGAAACAGAACCCAGTGGTTGAACGACGAGTTGTAGGACACCCTGCCCAATCAGCATCGGAATAAGCCACAAGACGATCAAGGGGACCAGCACGAAGATGGATACCATAGTGAAGAGTTCCCTTAATATACCGAAGAATACGCTTGACCGCCTGAAAATGTTGTTCTTGAGGATCATGCATATACTGACAGACAAGATTTACCGCATACTGGATATTCGGACGAGTGAAAGTGAGGTATTGTAGAGCACCCACCAAACTACGATAGAGAGTTGGATTGTGAAAAGGTGGAGAATCTTCCATAGAGAACTGAAAAGCCGGACCCAGGGGAGTAGTAATAGGGTTAGCATCCATGAGATGACTGCGAGACAATAATTCCTCAGCATATTTGTGTTGATGCAGAAACTAACCATTAGACTGTGGAGAGACAGAGACACCCAGAAAGTAACTGATAGGACCAAGATCAGTCATAGTAAAAGCACCTTTCATAGACTGAACAAGATTGGTAAGAAGACGATCACTGGAGGCAGTTAAAAGGATGTCATCCACATACAATAACAACACAGCCATATCAGAACCCGCAGAATAAACAAACATAGAAGAATTAGAACGACTGGCTTTGAAACCCTGTGCAAGCAAAAATGTAGTGAACCGGTGAAACCAAGCCCGAGGAGCCTGCTTAACCCATAAAGAGCCTTGTTCAAGCGACAGATATGTGAGCATGGTCTGGATAAACAAAACCAGTAGGCTGTTTCATGTAGACAAGTTCATTTAGATGACCATGCAAAAAAGCATTTTTAACATCCAACTGATGAACAGGCCACTTACGAGAAGCAGCAACTTAAGACAGTCCGAATTGTCACTGGTTTAACCACGGGACTGAACGTTTGATCATAGTCAATGCCAGGTTTTTTATTATAACCCTAAGCGACCAAACGTGCTTTACAACGATCAAGAGAGCCATCAGACTTGAGTTTAACACGAAAAATCCATTTAGAACCAATCACATTTGTGGAGATAGGAGGCGGAACTAGATCCCATGTGTGATTTGAAATAAGAGCATTATATTCATCACTCATGGCTGCACGCCATTCAGGGTATTTATTTGTTTCCATAAAAGAATGAGGTTATGGGAAGAGAGGTGGTAGTAGCAGCAAGAGAGATAATTTGTTTAGGTTTACGAGTGCCATCCCTATTTCGAGTGACCATAGGATGAGGTGGGGGGACAGTGGAGGTCGAAACTGATTTGTCAGACAAAGGTGGGACACTAGGTAGAGAGGACATAGAAACAGACGTCTGAAAAGAACGTGGAGAAGAAGGCACTTTTTGTGGAAGGTTTTTTGGAATGAGAAAGGAAGGAGGTTTGAACTGTAAGGATGTGGGAAGATTATGTGGAACCGGGGAAGACAACAAAGGGAAAGGAAACGATGTTTCATCGAAGATGACATGACGGGAGATATAGACTTTCTGAGAGACCGGATCAAAACAACGATAACCCTTGTAGGATTCAGGGTAACCGGGAAAGACACATGGAACAGATCTAGGACTGAATTTATGAGAGGCTAAGTGAGAGAGATTGGGAAAATAGGAACAACCAAAAACCCTAAGGTCGCCATAATTGGGGGAGCGACCAAACAAAAGAGCAAAGGAAATAGCACCATGTTTAGATTTAGTGGGCAACCTATTTAGGTAGACGCTAGTAGTTAAAGCTTCGACCCAAAATTGAGTTGGTAAGTGAGCTTGATGAAGAAGGGTACGAACCATGTTGATGATGGTTTGGTTCATATGTTTAGCTTTGCCATTTTGTTGAGGGGTATACGGACAAGATATGTGCATGGAAACCCCTTTGGACTTAAAGGAAATTTTAGAGAAATTGAGAACGAAACATACTCAGCAGCACCGTCGGATTGAAGGATTTTTATAGAAAGATTGAATTGAGTTTGAATAAGGGTATAGAACTCAACAAATTTTTGAGGAACTTCAGATTTATTTTTAAGAGGATAAACCCACAAGAAATGAGTGAAGTCATCAAGGAATAACACAAAGTATTTGAAACCACTACAAGAGAGACAAGGTGAGGTCCAAACATCGGTATGAATAATATCAAAAGCATTTAAAGTTACAGAAGAAGAAGGCCTAAAGGGAAGCTTATGATGCTTTCCTAGTTGACATGCTTGACATAAGGGACGCTTATTCGAAAAGGCCACAGAACCAGGAAGACGCTGACTAGAAACTAAACTGGAGAGGACCAAAGAGTGTGGATGACAAAGACGTTGGTGCCATACTTGAGAAGAAACAGAGGAAGCAAATGCCGGGCATGATAAAGAGGATGGTGCAAGAGACTGACGCAACAGGACTGACAGAAAAGAGTATAGAGACCCGGTACTATTGCAGCGTAGACGAGGGGTCCTCATCCATAGATCCTTCGCAGAAAAACCAAACGGATCAAACTCAATGGAACATTGATTATCAGTAGCAAATTGTCGAACAGAGATAAGATTTTTAGTGATAGAGGGAACATGATAGACATGAGGAAATTTAAATGAGGAACAAAGAATTTGACCAACAGATTTAATAGGTAACGCATTGCCATTTCCCATCACAACTTTAGTTGAACCAGTGAAAGGTTTTAAGTGAGACAGAATACCTGAAGTCAGGGTCATAAGATTACCATAGGCAGTATCCATATACCAAGAGGAGTCAACAGACGAAGGAGGAGGTGGCCGATTATAGTGATCCACATAGTAAGCGGGCTGCTGAAGTTGGAAGTAGTTGCGAGCAGAGTGATTTGGTTGATTACATAATTGGCAGCGAAGATCGGACTGAAAAGTGGGCGCCGGCGCCGGACCAAGAAGTGAAGGAGCACGAGGCCTAGGAGAAAACATGGGAGCTTGATAATTAGAATAAGAAGATTAAAACATGTTTGGATACTGACTGTTTTGGTGATTTCGTCCACGTCCCGACCTCTACTGCGGGAATTCTGAAAATGGCCCCGACCACGCCCGCGATTGTTGGAGAAGGGCTGAGAAATGGTGGAAGCAGGCTGCGGAGGGGGGTTGTTGGAAGAGGAAACAACCAAGGCTGGAGTAGCTGTAGAAAGAGAGGCCGGGGAAGCAATGTTTTGAAGCTGGACTTCATGAAGAAACAGCATAAATCGCGCTTCAACAAAGGTTGGCAGCGGCACTTTGTGACTTATGGTGGTTGAGATAGATTGGTAGTCAGAGGGAACGCCAGAAAGAATCTGAAGAACTAAATTAGTGTCTGAGATTGGACAACCAACCGCCGTCAAGGAATCAGCATAGGTTTTGAGTTTGGTGACATAGTCGTTGATAGATAAGTCAGCTTTCTTGAGACTGTGAAACTGAAGTTTTAATTGAAGAAGGCGCGAGACAAGTTGATCGTGAAACAATTTTTCAATTGTCAACCAGGCATCGCGAGCAGCGAGATTGGAGTTGGGTTTGATTATTGCTCGCAAGATTTCGGTGGAAACTGTGGCCTAAATCCAAGAGATGACAATGGAATCAAGCTGAGTCCAAGGCTGGAAAGCAGGGTTAGGAGCGGAGGAAGAAGATCCGCCTGCGGCAAGAAGAGTCGGCGGTGGACAAATAGAGGTGCCGTCGATATGGCCCATAACTCCGTGACCGCGAAAAACAGGAAGGAAGAGCTCCTTCCAGATCATGTAATTGGTGAAGTCAAGAACAGGATTGACGTGGTTCTTGATATTTGTGAGGCCGGCGTCCGGATGAGACACGGGTGGAGCAACAGAGTTGGAAGAAGAGGAGTTGGACACCAGAGTTGCAGTCATAGGTTCGGTCACAGAGAAGATTAACGGGCAGAACGGAAAGTGCAGAGCGACTGAGATGGATTCAAAAGGTGAGCAAGTAGTAGCGTCGAAGTGGCGGAGGCAACCAATAAAGAACTGGCGGCAAAGGTTGATGATCACCCGCCGACAAGAGTTACTGACGGAAGGAGACAAGAGAAAAAGGAAGAAAGATCAGGGTGGCGGCCGGAAAAACAAAACCGAACAAGGTTTGTGAAGAACGGCAGACCCGAAAGAAGGAGAGCAGCGGCAGTTGAAGCGTGATGAAGCCGAAAGAAGGAATTGCAGCAGCCGAAGATTGGATGATAAACAGCAGCAGCAGCAGCGGCCGAAGGGAGAGGTTGTGTGGTGGCGGAAAAGAAAAGAGGCTGACGGCAAGAAAGTGTTTATGCCGACAAGAGAGAGGAAGAAAGTTGTCCCCTAAAAAAAATTGAGAGGCCAGGAAAGAAGGTTGATACCATGAAAAGATTAATTTCTTGTGTCTCTGTTCACGTACATGTTGTACAATATATATAGTCATGATTTACATAAACTCTAGCCGTCTACCGAAACCCTATTTAGGGTTACCTAAAATACACATCCTATCATCTTGGAATTGAAAGTTAATCATTCAATATTCTAATTCTTTTTTACTTAGGTTTTCGAATTTGATTAATGCAACTTGAGGATTAGTGCTTATTAGTCTGAATAATTGAGTATTAATTAATTGTTGCAACCAGTAAGGTTCCGGGTCAACTTCGTGTTCCTTCGTTACAATCTAACAAATGGTGGGTTACACTCTGCTTCATTTATTTATTTGGACATGTAAAACAAGGAATATTGTCGATGACTTTTTTTCCTACAAGATAGAGTCAACACACCGTATATGATGTTGTAATAGGCAACTTTTGTAATATTTCCTTCCTTTTTTTATTTATTTTTTTTATTTTATAATCCGTTTTGCTATTAATACAATGAAATAAATTATTAAAATAAGATGGAGTATTGGATTTTTTTTTTCTCATCTTGTTTTGTTTCCTGGCCGTGTTTCGCGTAGTGATTGAGAAACTAAAAGTCGTCCCAAAATGATGTTCAGTTTGTGATTTTATTTTTAATACAATTTGTACTAAAAATGAAAATTCAAATAAGATAATGATTTTAGGATAAGGGGAATAGTGGAGTACAAATTTGGCTTTTGGACTAGCATAGAGGCGAAAACCACTTTCGTTTATGATTTTCGTTGCATGGAATTACTGTGTTTTGAGTGTTATTTTGGACTATATATTATCAATCAGTGTAATAGGTATTAGTTTTAAAGTGTTAATTTTTTTTTTGGGGGATTTAGATCCTTATTTGTGTGAGTGAAATAGCTTTAAAATGTAATTATACAAATTTAATTGCAGAATTTAACTGAATAATTTTTCCCTTTGAAACAGATTGATAGATCGGAATGCTGTGATGTTGTTCGTGTTGACAATGCGGGCAAGGTGGAGATTAAACTCAGAGAGTGCAGGACTGGTGAGGTTATTGCATAGAAGCTCTTCAAAAAATTGTGTATATTTGTAAAACAAAATCTTTTTACTGAAAAAAGAATTCCAAGTTTAGGTATTCTCCGAGTACATTTCACAAATGAAGGTGGATTAGAAGTGATGTATTAATTATCATTTTTTGAAATGAAAATTAACAACACTATCAATTGAACTTGGAAATGAATTCTAACCCATGGGATAATTAATATAGTCAGTATTTAATTCAAGTATGTTTTCTTCAAAAAAAAAATAAAATCCAAAGATCAGAATCCATTTAAAAAGTGAGATTTATACAAGCTCAAAGTTGAAAATAATAAAATAAAATAATATAAAGACCATAATAAAACATTATCAAATCCATGTTGATAATCAACCGTCAAAATATTTGTGCATGTCTGGTGATTAGAACTAAGTGACAATGAAAATTCCGGTGGGCTACATTTCAACTTGTTTAGTAGAGAAAGTTGTTTGTATACGCTTTTCAACCCAATATTCTAACAAGAAAGCACTGTGTTTAAAATAAAGCAAGTCCAAATTTCTCAACTTATTAATGGAGTAAAAGTTCTTGAATTCTGACTCCCGTCCTATTTATAAACTTTATACTCAATCCGTCTTAAAATTTTAGTCCACATAAATTCTTATCTTTAGTTGAACTCGAATTGAAAATTTAAAAAGAAAAATAATTTTCGGACTGAGTCCAATGTCAAGATTTTTCTCTAAGCCATGATCTCATCAGGCATGCATTCTCTGAATACTAGATGAGTAACATTCTTTGGCTCATCTTCTTGAGCAACGTCGCAGCATTCACTTCGATCAAGCTGATTCAACAAATTAACGAACATATTAATAACAAATTGGTAACCTCAAACGAAAGCCAAAATTTCACCAACACCAAAATTTTAATTATTATAACAAATATGATTATCATTTAAGGACACAGGCAATATATTTATTCAATCTTTTTGAGCTAATTTCATATCTTGTTGAGGTCGGGATTACTTTGCCTCATATGAAATTGATCAACCATGTTTTACATAACAAGAATAAATTATTTTTATCACTTCACTTTAATTTGACAGATATTAAGTTTCTTTCAGGAAACAGAACTTGTTAATTTGTTTTACCGATTTTGAAATCGTTGCATTTTTTTTCCTTTTAATTCTACATCTTCTTCTTTAACGATTTTACAAAGAAGAAACAAGATACCACATAATACGTAATTTCAAATAAATTAAAGGGTATGGACTATAATAAGGAGTATACAACATGCCAAGAGCAATTTGCAATGATCTCTTCATAATCAACATACAAATTTAATCCCTAAAGTTCTTTTTTATCCATGATTGTCATTTTCCACGTAATTTAATAAGATGTTAAACTCTGCACAAAAACTGCTAAATCTAGCAAAAAATGAAATTAGCCACTGGTTATAAATCTCAAAAATTAGAACAGCAAAGGAAGTGTAACACAAAAAGTGATTAAGAACTCACCTCAATCCGCCGGGTTGGTGGTGAGTAGACATAAATCCGAGACACAATATCCGCAGAGTTATTCCCATTTTGATCAACCAAACAAGGCGGCAATCCCCTTTCTCCAGATCGACCATAGCTACTCACAACCACCGGATCATTGTCATCGGAGTTTATTTCTATTGAGTCGAAATAAAAGACATGAGGAGCATCACAAGGGTTATTATCTCCCGGCCGCGGCCGGGTGTTAAACATGTAATGCGGCGGATTTGGATTCACCGGAGGCTCCTCCACCACCGGCGTCGTAAAGGTTTCCAGCGGCATTTGTAGCCAACTCCGAGGCATTATTTTCTCGTAAATGTGGATGGAATAACCCCACGAAATCGAAAAGGTCCGGTTATGTTGCCGGTCGTGACAAACGGTTTGTTGCAACAAGCGCGACTGGTCAACTCCTGCAGCTTTCATCAAGTGTCGAGTTGAATCGAAACGATCCAGTTTTGGGAAGATTGGTTCTACAACGTCGAAGTTATGAAGGGACATCAAAAGATCTTTTGTATGAGATGATAGGAATCCAGATATGTTACCTCTTAAATCAATCTACAAAGTAACAAACCCGTTATTAAATTAAATTTTCTGGAACGGATGGACTAATGAACTACGGATATGAATTTGATCAATTTTTTTTTTTTTTTACCTGATGCATCCCCTTCTGAGGAGAAAAGGTAACTCCAAAATCAGCTAAACAAGACATCAAAATAAGGTCAAAAGAAGAGTACACACGTCCGAATGTCCTTAGGTAATTGACCATATATTTTGCTAACAATTTCGCCACAGGGTAACTAAAAATGTACCCAGCTCCACCAAATCCCATGTTAAACGAGAGATTAAAATTCTTTGCCACCAATTCAGAATTACCTCCAAAGTAATACAACTTTGTGTCATCGTACTTCTCGAGCACATCAAGAATGTTTTCCACGAAAAATATCGTATCATCTTCCCCTATCAACAACCATCTGAACCCTTCCGGGTATTCTCTTACAACTTCCATGATCGCATACCCAGTGCGAATAATGTCCGAAGAGGAAGATGCATTAATCTCTTTCCCGAATTCGGTTATGTTATTAGAGACTCGGTACGGAGGGGAAGCCGAAGACCATGGAAGAAGATCATCACCTGTCGGAGGTTTATCGAGGAATAGATATCCGCGCATTTCGTCCGGGCGCCACCACGATTCCATATACGCTTTCCTGTGATGGCATTCTCTTTCGGACCCGACTAATCCAAAGAGAAGGTGAGAGATATCTGTGACAAAATCGTTGTCATTTGCTGTAGAATGTTGTTTCAGAAGGATTTCTTTATACCCCATTGAATATGGATGGAAGATGTAACTATAATAGATTAATCCGAACATTAGAAGTAATAGAGCTGCAGATTTGATTGGCATCATTTTCTGAGGAGAAAAGAAAAAGATATGAATGAATTCTAAGCAAGTTGATTCGTAGAAGTAGAAGTGGGGGAGATATCATTTTTTTTTCCTTTGTGTTTTGATCCATATTCATGGCTACGTTAGATACCTAACTTAAATATTACTTGTTGTGCTATATAGAGGTGGCTAGGTAATTAATTGATGCAACCCTATATTACCCAACATTTAAGTGTGGTAATCTTTTTTTTTTAAAAAAATAATCCAATTTGTTGATTCGATTTGAGGTTGTTGAAAGTTGCAGGCTCATGAAGCTAGCATTCATTCGTTGTGTGAGGGAAGTCTTCTACTGCAACTTACTCTAGCTAGTACCTATTTTGGCTTTACTTCTTTATTCTTTTAAACCCTTTTATCTCTTTTGAGTTTGGCATGTTTATAATCTCTTATTACCTCAATTCGGTTTGATCTCTCCATCTACATAGTTTTGAATAAAACCATACGGTTCTGCTTCTGCTATCGTCACAACCATAGTAGTAAGTATCGTACGCTATGCGATACATATCGCACGATACGTATCAAAATCTTTAATTTTGATACGTATCATGGTATGTATTGTAATCGTTTGTGTATCGATCAATTACCAATACCTATCGTATACGATACAAAAATATAGGTAAAGAATTAATTTTTTTCTTAAAAAAGTTCAAATTGTAACCATTTAAATTTCAAATTAAGAGCGAATTTTATTTATAATTTGTTTTAAATAGATACTTTTGATTTATTTCATAAACATAATCTTTCTCAATTGACAATAAAATCGATTTAAAAATATTCTAGTTCAAAAAATAAAATAGTTTAAAAATATTTTTTATTCATAATATCATTTTCCTTTTCTAAATCAAGTATAACTAATAGCATGTTAAATAAAGGCAATGCATGTTTATATTAATTTCTCTCTATTAAATTTATGACTTAATAACAACTCTTATGAAAAATAATATTTATTACATAGGTTTGCGATCATTATTCATATAATGAATAAGTAATATGTGTAACTTTCAAATAATCTTGAATTCAACTTAATCAATTTATTTGTTTATAACTGAAAAATAAAAAAATACATAATTATATCAATTACATATGGAGTTATGATAGATATTATTTTTTTTTATAGATATTATTATATTAAAACGTATCTTACGATACGATACACAATACGATACACGTATCATAAATTTAGGTTTTCGATACACGATACGTATCACTATTTGATAACTATGGTCACAACCAAGAACAAATAATTTGGATTGACATTGAAACAAAACTTAGGTACCAATTAGGCTTTATTTGGACAATTTACTACTCTTTCCGTCTCAAAATTATTGTCCAGTTTGCATTTTCAATTTTAGTACAATTTAAACTAGAAATAAAAATTCAAATTGGACAATAATTTTCAGGTGGAGGTAGTATGTGATATAAAATAGGTCATTGTTGGAATTATGTGGAACTTGGAGTGGAAGATGATGGAAGGTTAAAACCAAAAATACAAGTGAAGAAAATTTGTTTTTTCATCTTATCCATCGGCCTCTTTAAATCGACACTGGAGTCAATGACATAATTGTTTTTTACTAGTTTCTAAATTTTAAGAATTTTTTGGATTTTAATTATTTTTCCTATTTTTATGATTTTTTGGCCGGTCTTAGCATTCTCTGTTTAAGGGAAACATAGGCATCCATTGTTAAAAAAATAAAAATAGCTTATGAATTTTATAAAAATGAAAACAAGAGAAGATCTCTTTAATTATTTTTAATCCTTCAGGAGTTAATTTGAATTGTGCACTTGTAATAATCGTGCTATTGAGTCTAGTGTCTTCAATTAGTGGAGATTTTTTAGCCGTTTTATAGTACAATAATCAATTCATTTTCGAGAAATCTTAAGGTGAGGGTTAGTTGGGTATACCTAGAGGATTGGTAGCCATCCTAATCTATCCATCGTTTTGTTTGAAATTTTGTGGTTTCAAATTTTTTATAACTTTTTTTTTTTTTTCACTTTCTTCATTCTTTAATCTATCCATTCTTTTGTTCGATATTTTAGTGGTTTTGAATTTTTTTGCAAGGATTCTCACTCTTTTTAAACTATCTAAAAAACTGGAAGTATGAGAATATATCTATCCAAAATTCAATATATCTGTTAGCACATTTTTAAATCTTATTGAAATATCAAATGCATATCATTAAATGACTTGGAGGTGTAATTAATCGCCCCAGGGTATGGTGTCCTTGGTGTTATTGCATTTGAGATAAAGTGACATGTGAGTGAATGTGATTGAGTATGATCGTCGAGTGTTGCTTCTGGTGGTGTACTTTATCACCCTAGAGAAACTACTGTTATCATTATATCGATAGATTGTTCTGGTGGTGTGCATGATTGTGGTTTTGGTGGACTGTGTTCACTTGGAGCTTGGGCCTACCTTGGTTAGGCGACGCTTCGTGAGTCAGCATCGGGCTAGGTCGCCATGTTAGCTTACCTCGACTATTGTTGTCCGGATGGACCCAATACTCACGAGTATCTATCAGTGGCGATGAGATGTTGAGTAGGAATTGATATTGAAATTGGATCGTTATCATTATTGTATTGTTGAAACCTGGTTTAGAACTCGTCTATGTGACACATAGGCTATTCAATGGTCATTGCTTAGATTTTTCCGTATCCACTCCAATGTTAATTGCTTAATGCGAGATATTTGGTTGTTTAATAATTATACACAAAACTATTTTACCTTTAAATATAGATTTATCAAAATCGTTTATTAAAAGGATAATAGTAGACTAGTAGTGTAGTCAGAACCTCACTGATCTCGGCGCTCACCCCTTTATATACTATTCCCCTATCCCACTCTCAGATTTAGATTAAAGACCAAAGGCTTGAAAAAAGGTGATTTCTCAGAGAAGTCCGATCTCAGGAGATCCCATAAGTGAAGAATCTTGATTGGCTATGACTTTAAATGAATCTAGCCGATGAGCTAGGTTATCATGTTGTATAGACATTTTAAGATTGTGAAATTGATTGAATTCATGTATAATTTAATCTTGAGCTCAAACAACAAGTAGTCAGGCTTGGGCGAGAGCCTGACAGACGGTTCAACTCGTAGCCAAGTATGAGGTGTGGAAGTTCGTAAGTGAGTTGGGTCGTTAAAAGTGGTATCCATTGTTTCTGCTTCTCTTTATAGGTAAGTTTTTCATATCATTAGGGTAAAATTCATATCATTTGGCACCAAAGTTATTTGGTTCTTTGGAGTTCTTGCATGTTGAATAAAACAATATCATTTGGTATCACGAGTTTAGTTTTTGGATTTCTTGTTTGATTTTTATGTCAAATTAATTAAGACTTCTCTTTATTGTTTTTTATTGGTTTCTTCATATGTGTCTACTTTTGAAATCTCGCCTAGATTGCTTGTTTTACTTTTGGCCATATAGTGGACCAAAATTTTAATTCCACATCTAAACTTTAAGTGTTTGGTTTCGGTGCATCAAAGGGCGTTGTTTCTACTATTGTGGTTAAAAATAATTGTTTGTGTTGTTGCAGGAACCATTAATATGTTGTTGATTAGCTCTTTGAGCCTTATAGTTTAAGTGGCCAAAATTAGATTTTATATTGTTTACCCACGTCTGAAGCATATCATAGTTTGCTCCATGTTTGTTCTTTGGTTGCAAAATTTGAATTTTTATATTTGTGACATCCATCATCTATCTCGTGTTTTCATAGATTGTCACAGATATTTAGGAACATATATTTTTATAGAGGTCTCTATGTATTTTTTATTTGTGCACTTACATTAAATCTATTATTGTTAACTCAAAAAAGTATATGAAGTTCAAAGACAGGAAAAAGAAGAGTGATCATATTCCCCACTATAATCTAATGCTTTTTTAGCATTTATTTGGGTTGAGAGTAGTTTAGTTGAGATGGGATTCACATTACGGGAGTGAGTTCTTCCAAAATCTCCTTTCTTGTGTGCATGCGTTGTGATGTTTTCATCAGGTATAGACGCTATGATTATTTTGGAGATGGGTGCATTTATATGAAGAATATGATGATCCTTACTATATCCCAAGAAGGAGGTTTCATGCTGAAATGGAATACAAGAATCCTAACTTTCATGGCCAATGTGATTCGGAAATGTATTTTCATTGGGAGAAGAAAAGAGTAGATTATTTTCTATTCATAATTATTCTAAGGAAAAGAAGGTGATGGTTGATGTGTCTGCATTTCATGGTGTTTCTGCAACATGGTGGGTTAGGAGAGATTTGTCTTGCATACTACGTAAAACTTTTGCTCCTGCTTCGTTTCGATTAGATCGATCTAGGAAGAAAGGTGAAGATCTTACTAGGTACAAAACGATTACGATAACCCATGAATCGTGAAGCTGAATAGAGAATATTCGATGATGCACAACAAGTCCAAGAAGCTCCTCATCAAGATAGTTTGAGACCCTTAGGTGTATCTACGAATCACCTAGAGTGAATGAAAGAAATGTCATTGCTTCAAAAGCAAAAGCATGCTGAAAAACTTGAATAACAAAGTGCTAAAGAGCTTGAAGTACACATGCTTGAAGCTGTAATGGAGAAAAAAGAGTGTGAAGGGTGGAAAATAGAGTTTGAACAAGAGATTGAAGATTTGGTTATGGAGGATAACTTTTCTAACTATATTACTTCTTTTTCTATTTCTATATCTTCATTTCAAGTTGCAAATGTAGCAAAGTCTTTCTCCTTGCCGAATGAATCTCTAGAGGTTGCTAAAGGAACACAACCAAGTCATTTGCAATTAGTTTCAGAAATTGATCACATTGGCTTTGTGTTCGGTGATAATTTCACAAAAGAAGCTGTGGTTTCTACTCCAATCCACAATTTTTTTTTCATTACTCATGATATATGTGTATATGTGACAATCCAATGGAAGCCGATGAAAACTTTTTCCCTCTAGAATTATACGTTGCATGATTCGAGGACAAATCGTTTCGAAG